AGAGCATCCATGCCCGAACTGTGATACTGTCCATGCTCCAGCTCGACTTGGGGTTACGGCATCCATGTCCGAACTGTGATAGCATCCACGGGAAAGTGCGACTTGGGAAGATACTAGCGTCCACGGCCCAGTGCGACTTGAGCTTAGAGCTTGCCCGAACGTGAGGGCGTAGTGTGCATTGGGAAAAGAGAATTCTAGGAAGTCTTTCAAAACTGGTCTGCGTGCTGTGGCCCCGCGCGACACATTTGAAGTCGCCACGAGCCGACTGAAAAACGAGGAGGTCGTGCCACGGTCATTGCGTTGTCAAGAAACATCTCGTTTTAGCACAAGTTGTTGTCAGAATTCTGCGCGCCAACTCTACGAACAAGCCCTGCTATGGCAAAACAAGCTCTTAGATCGTGCAGTAAGTCTTTTCGGTACATCAGCCTAGCACTTGCTGTCGGGCCTTCCAAAGGTGCCTGGCGGCAAAGCTTATGAGTAGAATGTGCGAAGAGTTGTTGAGCAAATAGCAACAGCCAGCAGCACCAGCACAACAACGAAAAGAGCGGGCGAAGACTACACAGTCCACAGGGCTGTCGTGCCGCAAGACGACTGTAAAGTTAGCTGTGCACCGGCAGACCTGGGGGCTGTGCAAAAGAATAGCAACAGCTGCAACAATACTCATGCCACCAACATGAACGTGTTGGAGCCACAAGAGAGCAGAAACATGGGGGTTTTCATGGCCTCGTGATGCTGGTGTGCGATTGCAGCGACCAACCTGCAGGAGAGCAATGCAGTGTACCCTTCCAAGGTGCACGGCTGCACCATAAGCCTGAACCCCAAACCCTAGTATAGCCCCGATATTTTGAACACTCCCCGCTCACGATTTGACTTCAGAGCTCTGGCAATCCAACTTCACGAGGCCAGTCCAGCAGGGTCGGGGCATAGAAGAATCCCTTTGCCGGGGAAGATGTTGGCGGCTTTCGGAATCGGGTGGAGTTTCCTGAAAAATCTATCTTCCATGCGGATTCGCGCTTTCTGTGCATGCTGGAAGTGCGTTCGAGTGATATGGCCTTGATGAGATGAAATAGAGTGAGAGACCTCGGTAGTTGGACAGCGACTCGTGCCGACCCCTTCACCAAGAAATAGGACTGCGGAGCCTGGAAGCCCAAACGCCATTGAGGCCCAAAGCCAAGGCCTGAAATGCCCCAACAACTGTAACAGACCATACCATAATATACCATAATGTATATTATACTATATATATATA